TACATATGTACGTCTGTATGCATGCACGCATGCATGTCTGTCCATGTGTCTCTGTCCCTTTCTCCCTCCGTCCCTCGGCAGGCAGGCAGGCAAACAGGCAGGTAGACGGGTGGGCAGGTCGGAAGTTAGATAGGAAGTTAGGTAACTTTGCACATATTTGTTCTCATATATTTTCATATACATGAATGCATGCATGCATGCATGCATGCATGCATGCATGCACGCACACACACACACATATATATATATATATATACACACGTACATGTGCACACATAATATACATGTGCATGCGCTGCATGAATGTATCCATACAGATCAGTACACGGCACGTGCATAATTGTACATGTATACGTAGGTCTCACGTGCTCCGCTGTTGCAGAATGCAGCGCGTGCTGCCCTGGTGGTATTTGTGGCCACTGCAAGGAGTGCCGAGACAAGAAGACAGGACAGCTCTATAAACCCACACCTAAGGACCTCGAGGATCATGTGGTTTGTTTTCTGAATTTGGAGGTTACTGAACTGACCGTAACTAACCTCTTCGCAGCATTGATTCTGTCCAGCAAACCCCACGACAGAGCCCCTGAGACCGCGATGCCAAGCTGAAGCAGAAAGACCAAACCTTAAATCCCGACTCCAATGCTTAACATCCCAACATGCCCAAACCCTAAAACCCTAAAACCCTAAAGCTCAAGACCCCAAGCCCACCATTTCAACCCTTGGGCCCTAAACCCTCAACGGAAGTTCGGCGTTTTGCCGGGTGGGCCTCTAGATTCTGTGGGGTTTTCGTAAGGTCAGGACCTCGACATACGGAGTTGTAGAGGACCCCCTGCGGGCGACCCCGAGGGTCCTCTAGGTACGCGGCTTGCCTCCCCCCCCCCTCCCTCCCACAAGCCACCTGAATCACTAGAACCCTTCTAAGAACCCAAGAGACCCTTCAAGAAACCCCACATTTCCATGGTAAGCCTTCTCAGACTCCTTGTAGCCCCTTGAATTCTTCAAGAAACCCCACATCCCCAGATTAAGCCTTCTCAGACTCCTTGGAGCCCCCTGACTTCCTCAAGAAGGGTCCCCGGATCGCACAGGAGACTGCGAGAAGTGCTGGACTGCTCAGCCCTGGTGGGGCGGCCGCACCTCGCCTGTGGGGGTTTAGGGTTGCTTCGGAACGCTTCGGGTTATTTAGGGTTTAGGGTTTAGGGTTTAGAGTTTAGGGTTTAGGGTTTAGGGTTTAGGGTTTAGGATTTAGGGTTTAGGGTTTAGGGTTTAGGGAGGGGCCTAAATAATTAGCTATACTATTTTGAGGGTTCCTTTTTATAGTTATAGTGCAACATACCGCAAAGCCCTATTCTAATTATTAAGGCCCCTACAATAGGCTTTCGGGCTTCTTATGGTTTTTCAACCCTTGTCAAGATGAAGGCTAAGATGTTATTCGTTTAGTGTGTTTTTTTTGCTTCGGGCATCAGAGTCTATGGGGCAAAGTTCTGTTTATCGATCGCTTTGGTGTCGCGACTCCTCTAGTCTAGCGCTCAAGAAGAAGGCCACCCGAAGCCCCAAAAGGCTCAAGAAGAGAGGCCACAAAGCTTACTCGCGAAACTCTCAACTGTAAACCCCAAAAAAGCCAGAACCTTAACACCCGAACCGTAACCCCAAAGCCTCTGCACCCCACGGACTCACAGCGGCTGCAACCCCAGCTTTGGATGCTGCTTAGCAGCACAGGGTTTGTAGTTTCGAGGATTCAGGGTTTAGGGTTTATGGTTTAGGGTTTTAGTGTTTGTTATCTAAGTCATGTTCTCAAATTGTTTTGAAAGCCTGGAACCCACGGCCGTTATGCACCCCTAAGGGGTGTTCCTGACGGCTAGAGACACTTTGACGTAGCGGCCGGTGCAGAGGGTTTATGTTTGCGGCCTTATGGCCGGGGTGTAAGGGGTCCTTATACCAAGGATCTGACTATGCAGGGTTCATGTTGAGGAGCCTCATAACAAGGAACCTTGTGTTTTGAAGACCCTAAACCCTAAACCCAAAAGAACCCTGAACCCTAAACCCGACATTACCTGGTCCCCACCTCTCCTCCGCGCTGAGGCACTTTCTGGACTCCCCGATCGAAGGCAGTGGGGAGAGCCCTTTCGCAGGGTGCTTTCAGAGTTCTGTTAAAGGGTTTAGGGTTTGAGGCTTCGGATTTAGGGTTTGAGGTTTAGGGTTTAGGGTTTGAGGTTTGGGGTTTAGGGTTTAGGGTTGAGGTTTAGGTTTAGGGTTTAGGGTTGAGGTTTAGGGTTTAAGGTTTAGGGTTTAGGGTTTGAGGTTTAGGGTTCAGGGTTTGAGGTTTAGGGTAAGGGGCCGTAAGGGTTCTATGATATAGAGGCTTCAACTTGATCCTGAGTCCCAGACCCTCGACCCTGAATTCTGAGCCATCGAACTTCCCTGAAGTCTCCGCGTCGTTCAGGGGTCTCGCTTGAGGAGGGTTCCGGACCCTCATCTCCTTTTGGATCTTGTGAACCTTAAGTTAGGATTTAGGGTTTAGGGTTTAGGGTTTAGGGGTTTAGGGTTTAGGGTTTAGGGGTTTAGGGTTTAGGGGTTTAGGGTTTAGGGGTAAGCCCTACACTGGAGAAGCCAAGAGCCTCGAGACTCAGATATGGGCTTTCAGGGAGCAGTGTGGTTGCACCGTATCCCCATCCAACTTCCGTGGACTGCATCCCAAGCTGTGTTTTGGAAAATTATGGTATGGATATCGACGCCTTGCCTGACGAACAGATCTGGGCAAAAAGAATACGCATGAAGGAACGAGGTGTTGCAGCGTGCCGTGGTGGCCCAAGCTCCCGTTATGGGTCGAGGGGTCTTGTTCTTCACCGTAGTCAAGGACCTCAGAAACAGCACACACACACACACACACACCCAAGACCCTAAACCCCTAAACCGGAACCCTGAGCCCCAAATCCGAAGGCGCAAACTCCAAGCATGCTGCCCGTGAAGCCCAGGCAGCCCTGAACTCAAGGGCTCAGTATATGGAAGAAACGGATAGAGCATTCGATACGGTTCCTTATGAATGAAACATGTATTGCAATACACACCAAAAAATTTGGAAACTTAAAGCGAGACTCCATAAAACACGATCGCCACTGCATGAAGACCCCTATATTCTGCCTCCGGTTAGACTGACAGAGGCACTCCAGTGCCTAGGCGGAGTGGAGGAGGACCGGCTGAAGCGTCAATCTTGAAGGGTTTAGGTGTTAGGGTGTGCAGGACTTTGGGGGTTTTTGACGGCTCTTGGGGTTTTGGGGGGGGTTAGGGTTTCGGGCATACAGTTTCGATTGTGCAGATACTGCGGAAGTTGGCGGCGGGTTCTCCTGCAGTTTGTAAGGACTACATGCGTCCCTTTAGATGGGGTCCTGGTCATAAGGGGGCTACTATTTCGGATTCGGGCAAGAAGAAGGAACACTAAAGCCGAAAGACCCTGAAGCCTGAAGGCCCTATACTTCAAACATAGTGTGAACTGTTAAAGCCCAACGACCTCAGGCCACTACAGGCCTTTACGCCTCAAATTTGCGGCCCTAGGCCTTTGATCCCAGCATCCTGAAAGTAGACCCTAAACCCTGAACCCCTAAACTCTTAAAGAAAGAACCTCTCAACTCTTTGAAATCGAGTCCCTAAACTCCTAATAAAAAAAGGAGCCCCCAAACTCCTAAACTTTTTGAACTAAGCCCTAAACCCTAAACCCTAAACCCTAAATGATGCGCGGAGGACTACACGGCCGACCAGGAGCTCAAGCCGGCGTGGTCGCCAGGCCAGGGAAGTTCCGGAGGGAGTTGAGGGGTTCAGGATTTAGGATTTAGGGTTTAGCGTTTAGGGTTTAGGGTTTAGGGTTTAGGGTTTAGGTTTCAGGATTTAGGATTTCGGGTTTAAGGTTAGGGGTTTAAGGGCTTAGGGTTTAGGGTTTGGGGTTTGGGGTTCAGGATTCAGGATTTAAAGCCCGTCAGGGCCCCTTTTAAAGGGAACCCCACAATTACTATCCTCTTTAGGGTTTAGGGTTTAGGGTTTAGGGTTTAGGGTTTAGGCCCTTATGACCTGATGGTCTTTTCTAAGGCCCTGTGAAGTGGCGCGGAGTTTGAGACTCAGAAGAGTAGGCATCAGGAAAGAGGCTCCAGCCAACTGTGGGGTTTAGGGCTTGAGGTTTAACTAATATAGGGACCCAAATAATTACCTATACTATTTTCGGAGTTCCTTAATTATTGTAATTATAGCATAATATGCACCAAAAACCTATTCTAGTTATTAAGGCCCCTACATCAAGTGTCTACGGTTCGATCCGGAGCCTCAAGCCCCAGATCCCGGTTTGTCGCAGGCTGCGAGAAGTGCTGGGATGATCCCAAGGGCTCCTTCGTCGCACTCTGGTCGGCTCTGTTTACCCGAAGCAGGCCAACCCAGCCATTGCAAGCTTCATGGAAACGAAGAAGGTGATTAAGCTCAAGCTGTTTTTGCAAGAGGATGAGAAGAGTGTCGCTGGCCCTCTAAGTCGTGGCCTTCGTCAGCACTACTCGCTCCTTCGCGTTTCTTTCCCAAACGGCTTCTGATTCAGGTCTAGAAGACGGTGTGTCGAATATTGGAGTTCAAGCTCTCCGGCCAACGGCTTTCCGTTTCGAGCTGAAGGCCATGGGAGCCCCGCCTCCTCCTCCTCCTCCTCCTGCTCCTCCCTGTTTTGATCATCCTGCTCGCCGGAGTCATTCTCAATGTCATGCCACCAGCACTGCCACTGCCATCGCTGCCGCACGACGACCACCAACACCAATGGATTTACGTAACTACGAAGCAGACCACACAAAAGCTGGGAATCTAAGCGTCATCGCCGCATGTCACCCCTGGACTTCGCTAGCGGGCTTCACCCCGATAGCATGCTGCAGATTGGCACCTGAGGTTGTGAGGCCCATGTTCGTGGCGTCGACCGGGGACTCATCACAAAGTCACTTGCCGTCGATCCCCCCTGAGTTGGGAGCTAGGATTAGGGGGATTTTTGGGGATATAGACCCTCTCAATAAGGTCCCTTTTACGACAGCCAAAAGTAGGGTTCAGAAGGGGTACCCTTTAAGGGGTACCCCTAATAATGCTACCTGTGAGTGTCGAAATTCAAGGTTCCCAGGAATCCAGGCCTAGCTGCGGTTTTGGGCGCTTTGTCGACACTGAACCCCAACCCTCACCCCCTAGACTCTCTAACCTCCTTAGCCTTACCCCTCAACCCTAAACCAAACCCAAAACCCTAAACCCAAAACCCTAAACCCTAAACCTCAAACCCTAAACCCTAAACCCTAAACCCCAAACCCTGAAACCCTAAACCCAACAAAGCCTTAGAGACCCAAAGCCCCAAGCCCTAAAGGCCCCAAGCCCTAAAGGCCCCAAGCCCCAAAGGCCCCAAGCCCTCACAACCCTGGAGCCCTCAGCCCAATCGGCGAGCTCGACCGGCCCCCAGTTTTGACGCCAAGGAAACACAGGAACCTTTTGGGGTTTAGGGTTTGGGGTTCAGGGTTTTTGACCGAAGCCGGGAAGATGCCCCCTATGGTTTGTTTAGGGTTGAGTAGGGGTTTTCAGAGGGTCTGGTGAGAGTTTGATAAGGTTTCCAGAGGGTTTCACACGGGTCTCTTTGGGGTTTCACGGATGAATGAACTCGAAGCCCTCGGAAGCCCTAAACCCTAAACCCCAAGCCTCTTGCCAAGGGCGGACTGGACAAAGGATCTCATGTTCTACGGCGTCATCACCCTGGCCATCATCGCCGGCGGGCTTAGCCTGCTGCTCTTGGTGAATGTGCCTCAGCTGGCAGGGCCAGTTTAGGGTTATTTAGGGTTCAGCGGTTTAGGGGTCGGTTTAGGGGTTTAGGGGTTTAGGGAAGGTGCTGGTTGAGGGACTTGGGGGGAAGTGGGTTCACTCGGGAACCTCGGTTAAATATCATACTATAATTACAATCAGGAACCCCCCAAAAAAATAATATAGGTAATTCTTAAGGCCCCTATAGTACTGCTTTCTCCCTGGATCAAGGCCTGTCGGAAGCCAGCCGCTCGAGAATCCGGGGGTACCGTTGGCTTTGTTTCGTGGCCGCAGCTGGAACCCCCATGCCACCCCAAACCCTAAACCCGACACCCTAAACCCCAAACTCCAACATCGAAGCGATACTTTTTCGGGATGCCGCCTGACATGGAGCCCCCTGCTTCAGAGTCGAAGATACCTCAGAGGAGGGCTTGCTGGCCTCAGGCAAACTTTGGGGCCCTATGGCCCTAGGACTGTGATCTTATCGCTCTTGCTGTGGTCGTTTTTCGGGTAATGTCGGCTTCGGAACAGGGTGACAAAGTCGATGGATCTGTGGGGAAAGGTTTGGAGGGCTTTGGGTTTAGGATTTGAGGGTTCAGCTCTTAGGGAGCTGGCAGGTAGAGCATCGACGACAGCACAACTAGCAAAAGGTGAGTAGCATGAGTGACGAATAAAATGGCAAGACTAGCTTGTTTGCACTTGCACGTCATCGCCATACTCTCGGACACATGCATGAGCTGTGCTTGCTGCTGATCTGTCGCTGCTGATGATATCGTTCTCAGATTGACTTTACCGGTGACCCCTAAACCGTCCTCAACATCATTGTTTGGGCGCTTGCGGCGCTGCATGTCAGAGCTTTAGGTTTCCAGAGTTTCAGCATTCAGGGACCTCTAAAGCCACGAAAGCCTCAAACCACGACTCGGCCCGCAAAGCCGCTAGAAACAATCTTTGCAGCCATGTTGCACGAGTCCAAGGAGATGAGAGCTGCGTGATCTCCCTGCGCGCGGATCCTTTAGGCTAGTCGCAGATGCTGGTCTGAGACGGCCTTGCCATCGGGGTTGAAGCTTCGGGGTTTGAGGTTTAGGATTTAGGATTTGACGCCTACGGTTTAGGCAGTGATATTTAAAGGTCTGGGCTTTGGGGCTGTATTTCCACGTCAGCCTGCCCGCTAGGCTGGGGGTCCGTGTCTGCATCTGCATGAGGATCATCAGTGGGCATAGTTTGTTTTAACACCGCCATCCTTACCATCAGCACCACAGCCATCGTCAGCATCATGATCACCATCATCGGTGTCATTATCACACGCACCATCATTATCATCCTCATCCTCATCCTCATCCTCATCCTCGTCCTCATCCTCATCCTCATCCTCATCCTCATCCTCATCCTCATCCTCATCCTCATCCTCATCCTTATCATCATCATCATCATCATCATCATCATCCTCATCATCATTACCATCATGGTCATCATCATCGCCATCATGATGATGATCATCATCAACTCACCCGCTTGCAACACCTGCCTGCCTGCCTGCCTGCCTGCCGGCCTGCCTGCCTGCCTGCCTGCCTGCCTGCCTGCCTGCCTGCTATGCTGCTATGCATCTGCAAGGGATGCAAGAACCCTAAACCCTAAACCCTAAACCCTAAATACCATGCATCTTCCTCCTCAATCCTTCCCTTGGGATCGGACTCCCAGTCCTCGGCACCATCATCGGCGTCATCGTTCATATTACATATTATATACTATATATTATATATTACATCCATCGCCACCACAGTTGGTCGAAATCTGCAGCTCTGCAGGGCCAAGCCACGAAGCTTCAACCCTGAGCCCGGGCCCCCCAGGGTCAAGGCTTAAGTGGCCATGGCCTGTGCCGAGCCCCTGAAACTGCGAACTCCGGTGCTCCATATCCAGTTTCATTTCTCGGTGCTTCGGGTTTCGGGTCCAAAGGGCCAGCTGTATGCCGCCAATGTACAAGGCATGCGGGTTCACAATGTCACGGTCCTTGCGCATGGCTTCAAGGTTTAGGGCATTGGGCTCGTATAGTTTTCAAGTTTCCAGGTTTTGGTGACCGCTGATTGACCAAATTCCAAGTCAATGCCTGCTGCCATTGTCGAGAAGACAAGCAGCCTGTTTCCGGCAAGAAAGACAGAGCACTTTACAATGTGCATAGCACCGAGAAGAACAGGTGAGCAACAGAGCAATGGTGAGAATCGCAGGCATAACAATTTCTGCTTGAACGCCTCCCTGTTGACCTCTCCTAGACTCCAAACTCTAGACGCCCCCATGCCTCATAATGTTAAGCCTCTCGACCGCCATGGCAAGCCGACCAGGACGCCACCCCGGCTACCCGCCCTCCTGCCCTGCCTGCCCCGCTGCCCTCCCTGGCCCTGCCCTACCCTGGCCCGTCCGCCCTGCTTTGTAAAAACGCGATTGAAGAAATCAGAGAGGAAGCAGTCTGCCATGGCTAAACCCTGAAAGGATTAGGTTTCGGTGATTTGGTCGCTTCGGACGGCGTGGGGTGGGAGAAAAGGAAGAACACCTTCCGCAATGGGGGCTTAGAGCGGCCAACCACTCGGGATTGCGCAGTCTTGAGCAGGATATCTTCGCTTGTGCGCTATGCCACGACAAACCCTAATCCCAAAACCCTAAACCCTAAGAGTGCATTTCCCGGAGGAGGAGAGCCCTAGCTAGTCTACGGTATTTAGAGAACTACCCACGTGAGCTCATGTTGGCTGAGGGGCCTTGCGTGAGACTTTGTGGGCTCTGGGGAGTTACGGGGGCCCTTTCAGGATACTACGGGCGCACTAGAGTATTCTAGGGGTACCATGAGGGTACTACAGGGCTATGACATGGGGGTAGTATCCGGGTACTGGAAGGGAAGGGTTTTCTAAGGGTACTATAAGGGCACGATAACTACTTTAAGTGGGTTAAACCCTAAACCCCAAACCCTAAACCCTACACCGCGTCTACGAGGTTCTGCCATGTCTGCTTTGAGTTGAGCTCTTCGATGGGATTAAGGGTCCCTAGTAGGGGTCCTTCCTGATGGAGGTGCCGCAGGGCTCATAGTTTCCAAGAAATTTCATGCTCGCCAATAATTGAACCCCTGCTGAACCAAATCCAAAGCCCCAAACTCTGTTTAATCCCTAAACCCAAAACCCGTAAACCCCTAAATCCCTAAACCCCTAAAGCCCTAAACCACTAAACCTTAAACCGCACGTCTTTCTTGCTGCTGTTTGCAACTCTACGTGGAGTGCAGACGACTGGACCGGCCGCGGAGAGGGCTTGGCTTAGGGTGCAGAGTTTAGGGTTTAGGGGTT